CACTCGGGACTCCCTGCTGGTGTCTTGGTTAGGAGGGAGGATTTGAACTTAGATTTCTTACTCTGGAGGCTTTGTCCCAACCTCATGACCTATTTCCCTTTTCATTATTATTATTATTATTATTATTGTTGTTGTTGTTGCTGTTGTTTTGTATTTAGGACAGGGTGTACAGGGTGTTCAGGGTCTCACTACTAGATTGGACTTGTAGTGATCCACCTGTTTACAGGGCCTTCAGCTTCCCTTTTGGGTCTGGCTCCCTTTGTTTTTTTTTTTTTTCAGCCCACCAGGGGGCGGGGCTGGCTGGCATGTGGTGCTGGGGGATTGAACCGCGGTCCTAAGTAGGTGCTTTAGACCACTGAGCCATCTCACCAGCCCCGTCTGGCTCCCTTTGGTCCTGCCTTTTCAGTGTTGCTTCTCTTCCATGAAGACTGGGGGACACAGACTATTCTGGATCTAGACCTTGAAAGTGCTAGGTGACCCCAATTTTCTGAGCCTGACCAGCAGATTTCCGCTATTCTAGCTGGCTCCCAACCTTGGAGACCCGCAGGGCCTATTCTCCTGATCCTTCCTCCTTGGCAAGGGTGGGCGACCCAGGGACGACAAAGGGGCAGCTGTTATTTGGAGGTGACTGTCTACCCTCCTCCAGCTCCAGTTCTGAATGCTCCCCGTGCCAACCTGGCAGCTTCCATACCCTTGGCCTTGGAGTAGGAAGAGTTCTCCCAGATCTCTGAGCTGCAACTGAGACCCTCGGAGCCAGCAGCCTGGATTCAGTTCTGTCCCCACCCTCTGCATGATCTTCAGGACCATCTGCTTTGCCTGTCCCCCTCCTCCATGCTGGGATTGAAATCAAGGCCCCTGCACTGACTATAACCCCCTCAACCTTTCTAGTTTTAGTTTTGAGACAGGGTCTTGCTTAGTTGCCCAGGTGAGCCTGGAAGCTGTGATCTCCCTGTCTCAGCCTCCTAGACTTTTCTTTCTTTGCAGCACCAAGGATCGACCTTGTGCCTGCCAGGCGGGCGCTTATGCTGCTGAACTATCCCCTTGGCCCTCAGCTTCCTAGAGAGCTGGGATTACAGGTGTGCACCACCACTCCCAGCTGTGCCTCAGTTTTAAAATCTGCAAACAAGGCTCACAACAGTACCTGCCTTGTGGGCCTGGTTTGTGGGATCAATGAGCCATATTAACTTCCCACTGCGTGGAGAGTTCCGTGAGGGCTGGGGCTGTTCAGCCCACTCTAGGATCTTAGGGTCTGGAGCGTCATCAGACATCTGGTGTCTGTGGAGTGGATGAACAAGCCCCCCTCCCCTAGCAGGCCAGCCCGTGTGGTGACTCTGTTTAACCCTTACACACGCTAAGACCATCGTCAGCATTAGTAGTAATGACAGCAGTGGCTGGGGCCTCCAGGCTAGGCTGGGGGGCGAACAAGGGCAACCAATGAATAATCCCTTCTGACCTATAAAGTTTACTACTCTGCGACCTCATCCTTGCCAGCTGACTTTCTGCTCTGTGACAGGCTCACCTTGGGCAAATCTCCCATCTCTGTGTGAGCATCCCTGAGGATGACAAGGAAGATGAAAGGCCTCTAGGGACAGGTGAGGAAGAGGTGTGGCATCTGCTGTCGCCTGTGCCAGCTGTGGACGCCTGCTGGGGAAGGGTGAGGCAGGCCAGCCCTGCTTTCAAGAGCTCCCGGGAAGGTCGGACCTCAGCGCCCTGTTCCTCAGCAGTGGCCAAGAAGGGAAGCCCAGCAGCTCCTAAAGCTGAGCACGACACTGCTGTGGCCTGTGCTCCCCTGGGGTGTGACTGGGAGCAAATGGGAGAGCTGTCCTCTGGCTGGGGTGGGTAACAGATCTCAGAGAGACTAGGGATCCCTTTGGCCCAAGATTGCCTGCAGTGTGGATCCAATGAGACACACCAAGACTGGTACAGTGAATCTCATTGGTCAAGGCTGGGAGAAAGTCACCCTGTCTCTGGAGAACCACCGCGGCTCCCATCTCCTGGGCCTCTGGCCAAGCACTCTTGCCGCTTGGGACACCCTTCCCAGCCACGCCTGCCTGGTGACTGCACCCATACGTCACCCCTGCCGCACCCTCCCTGACACACGCTGGGCCCCTTGTCTAGGGCTTGCAGTGGCATGGCACACACGCTGCTCAACATTCCCCCGCAGCAGGGGCTTGTATTGGAGCCCTGGCGCTTCCAGGTTGTTTGGAGGATTAAATGAGATAATATACATAGGTTGCTGGGTGCAGTGCCGAGCACAGAGCACGGGCTTGAGCAGTGTGCCCTTCTAATAGCTGCTGTCCTTTCATGTGAGTCAGGGGCCTTTGGGTTCAGGGCAGGGGCCACTTCCACATGCCTTGGTCCTGGCACCTCACTCAGTTCCCACGGCAGAGTGGGGCTTCACCCACCACAACTGGCACCTTCGTTCCACAAGAGGAAATAGCAGCCTAGGTTCCTCCCTGTCTACCACACAGTCTCTAGAGCCAGGTGTGCACCCCCAGGCCAGGGCCAGCTGGCGCGACTGGTGCTCCGTCTATCCCGGCCGCCTCCCGACCCCACTGTGTCAGCGCAAAGTCCCATCCTGGGAGGCTCTGGAGTTAGCTTCCCGTGAGCTATGTGACCAGCAGGGTCTTTTCAGCAAGTCAGTACGTCAGCGTCTTCCTACATGATGTCAGGGGTCTACGTGGGACATCAGGACGATCAGCCACCAGGCCTCAGTTCACTCAGGACGACCACAAATCCTACAGTGGACCATCTCTCATCTTTCTAGTTCTGACTCGAGTCAGATTCCTACAGGATGGCTGAGCCCGAGAGAGACAGCCATTAGCCAATGAGGCCAGGGACAGGGGTGGCCAGGATTCTGCTAATGCTATAGGTAGCCCACTACCTTCCTAGGCCTGATGGTCCCCTTCCACATGGCACCAAGCTCAGAGCCACACCCTAACCTCCCTCCCTTGCAGTGCAAAGCACCATCCCATGGATCGAGCCCCTGTTTTCCAGATGGGAAAGTTGAGGCTCTGAGCCAGGATGAGCTTTGTCTGATGCTGTGCAGAACCTGGGCTTTTATCTGGGGCCTTCTGGGCATGCCTGTTGTTAGAAGGATCCCAAATGCAGTGACCAGGCTGTACTGGGGCTAGCTGGATCTGGATCCCTCTTCACACCCTGCAGCCTTAAACCACAGTGTCTAGCGTCAGCGTCTAGTTCTGGGATCTGTCTCATCCCTTGTGCCGGGGCCAAGCCACCTGCGAATCTTTCCAAACCACCCGCAGTCAACCGCAGAGGCTCAGGGGACCCCACAGGTGGGACCCCCAGCTGAGAGCTGTGGGGTAGCAGGAAGATGAGCTAGAAGGGAGCTGATGCAACCCAGAGAGGCCAGGACTCAGACACCCTGGCTAGGGGGCGACAACCAAGCCACACACTCCCTCATGTTCCTTCCAGCCTCTCCAGCATTCTTCCCTTCTGGAAAGATTCTTTAACAAAGGGCTCTGTGCTTCTGGCAGGTCCTGACCCAGCCCCAGAGGATCCCACATGCCAGGGGAGCAGGAGGTTGTTGTGTTACGGCCAAGTGCAGAGGTGGTGGGTGAAAGAACCCATGAGTGCTGTCCGAGGCCAGCCCCCAGAAGCAGCCTGGACGTCTGCACTGTCATCTGAGGCCAGCAGGTGGACAGGGTCAGTGGGCTGGTCCTACCAGTTGGGCCAGGCTTCTGGATTGGGGCCAGGAGCAGTTAGAACCTTGTCCCTTCCCATTAGGGAGGGCAACACAGGCAGGGGTGATCAGTGGGTCCTGTTGGGATGCCGTGGGGAAGCAGAGAGAGTGTGTGAAAAGGGCGAAGCAGGGAGAGGATGACCATGGTGTGGGAGGAGAGCTGGGGCCAGTGCCCGGAGGGCCTCACCACCCCTGGTGCCCACTGCGGGTGCTGGCTCAGAGAGCTGGGGTGCAGTGGTGGGCAGCTTTGGTGGCTCTGGGAGGGCCTGGGCAGTGGGATTTGAAGAGATGTGTAGTAGAATGAGCAGGTTGGTGTGTGTAAGATGCCAAGTGCCTGGGTCTTGTCAGATCTCCTAAGTTTCTGTGTGTGTGTGTGTGTGTGTGTGTGTGTGTGTGTGTGTGCGTGCGCGCGTGCGCATCGTGTATGTGTGTGCATGTGTGCGCGCGTGTGTTTGTGTGTCTCAGGAAGATGGTGGGGAGGGTGTGTCCATGGGTGAGGAGGAGAGCTGGTCTCCAGCCCTCAGGAGGTCCTGAGCTGGAGGTGAGGGCAGATTTCTCAGAGGGGTGAGGCTCTAGATGGGTCAAGATTAACGTCAGTGTGGAGAACTACTAGAGTGTGCTGGGAGGACCCCCGGGAGTGATTTTCATGGATGCCCTTGGGCCTGTGGACTGGGACAGGAGCTGGGCCAGCAGGCTGAGCTAAGGCCTGTGCGCAGTAGGGGTGGGCACCAGGTTTAGGAGACTAGGCAGGGGTCGTGGGGTCAGGAGGGACAGATAGGTGCCTGAGACCTATCTCCTTGGGGGGAAAGGGGGAGAAGCCAGGCGGGAAGACAGGATGCCAAGTGTGGGGGTTGGGGGTGTGGTGTTAAGATCCTGGGGGATCATTGGGGTGGATGGAGGACGGGTAGGGGTCCTGGGCTTGGGGGGAGCTCTTGGGGGGCGGGTCTGCGGGAGTGGGGGATGGGAGAGCCCTGATGGGGGTCCGGGAGGGGTCCTGGGGGGTCAGTGAACGGGGTGGGCGGGGGTCTTAGGGCTGCGGGGCCTCTTAGGGAGAGTGCAGGGTGGGGGAGGGGGTACTGCGGGGCGCCCCGGGAGGGTCCTGTGGGATCTGGAAGGACGGTGGGCGGGGGCCGGGGCCCGTGGGGTTGGGACCGGGGCTGAGGGTGCCGAGGTTCGCCGCGCGGGCTCTAGGGTGAGGTGGCCCGAGTGGCGGTCTTGCCGATCCCCGCGGGCCGCAGCGCGAAGCCGCCGGCCTCAGCAAGCGTCCGACAAGGAGGCCCGGTCCGTGCCACCTTACCTGCACCAAGCATGCCGCCATCGCCGCGCCGAGCCTCGCCGTCCCGGGCCGCGTCGCCGGATCTTTGCCGCCCCGCTCGCCCCGCAGCCCCGGCCCGGCCCCCTCAGCCGCCCCCCGGGACCGCGGCCGCCGCCGGCTCCGCCGCTGCCATTTCACCCGCTGACAGGCGCCGCTGCCCCGCCCCCGAAGCCCCGTCAGCCAATTCACCGCCCCCAGGCACTCTGGCTCCGCCCATCCCCTAAGAGTGACGAAGTGTCTGACCAATCCGTACCCATCCCGTGAGGCGGGCCCTGGTTACGGTCTGAAGGTTGCAGCCTCCAAGTAGAGAAGCAAATTGAAATGAGGAAAATAGTGACGGACAGATCGATTTGCCTATCAAAGTGAGAAATTCTGTTGATCAACGTTTGTAGGGACCAATAGAAAGGTACGAGGGTGCGTCGCTGAGGGAGGCTGCGGCCCTGAGAAACCCTAGGCAGAGGCGGCCAGGAGGAGGACACTAATTCCCGCCCAGGGCCGGGCTTTCTGTCCAATAATGAGGCTGCTTGAAATGTCCATTATTGTGGCCCTGGCAACTGTTGCGGTGCTATTAAGATTGACATCTAGCAAGCCAATGACATTGTAGAAGGGCGGGGAACTGACAACCTCTGACCAACGGAGTTGGGAGATTGGTGCGAGATTGGCGTTCTGGGCGGTCGGGCTTGAGACCTGAGTTGAATGAAATGGAGGTGGGGCTAAGGAAGGGGCGGGGTCTAGGCCAACGTTAGGGCGGGATCAGGGATAGTGGGTTGGGTCTGAGAAGGGGCGTTGCCAGTATGCGCATCCTCCGTGCAGGTCTTGGCGCTGTGGGCCGGGCGGTTGGGTTGAGGTGATGAAAGCTTAGGGGACTGTGGTCAGTGACCCTAGTTCTGTCTGGGTTGAGTAGCTTCTGTGAAAGTCCCAGGTGCAGCTTGTTTATCAAAGCACGGATCGCACTATGATCCCTATTTACAACCCCCTCCCGGTCGTCCCAGGCCGATAACTCCTATTTGGGGTATGGTTGGGGTTGGGGAAGAAAGGCCCAGGTCAGGTTTCCCTTGGATCCTCGCGTGACCAAGCAGGGGTCTTAATACCTGGGTACTGTTAAAAAATGTTTGATAAATGAATGAATGGGTCTATGATTCTTTTAATAGGCAAGGAAAGTGTTGGGATCACTCGAGCTGGGGGAGGGACTGTATAGGGGCCATCCCTGACAGCAAGCAAGATTTAGCAAAATGGAAAAGATGCACCCTCAGATGAGGGGATGGATTTTGGAGAGGGAGGGGCAGGGAAGAGCTGTGTCACAGAAGAGAGTGTGACATAAGCCCCAAGCAGAGGCTGAAAATGGGGAGACAATTAAACATAAGGTGTTTAGGATGGGGATTGTCAGCAGGACTGGAACGTCCCGCTATCCTTCCTAGCTGTATTACGCTTATTAAAATGCTAGAGCTATTGGGAAAATCCCCAAAACATTTCTAAAAACCCCGGTGGTAAAAATAAATATAATGCATTCCTCCTCCCCTCTATATTCCCATACTGCTTTCCCCTAATTTTTTTTTTTTTTTTCAAAGAACAAATCTGTCCTTTTAAAGCCAGCTTATGTGCTGGGCTTTCCATCACAGAACACTAAACTAAAGTCAATCTCAATGGCATTGTCCCCAAATTCCTAAGTGGGCCTTGGAGGGGGCATGGACTCCCCCACGGGCAGGTACTAAATCAGGAGGGAAAGGGTGAAGCCAGGTTGGGTGGAGACCACATGAGCAGTAAGGGGGCAGTGCCTGAGTCAGCTGTCTAGGGTCTCCCAGTGTGGGTGTCTGAGGGCCCCCAGTGTGGGGTTCACCACCAATATCTGAGGTTCTTCCCCAAAATGATGCCTCCAGGAAAGAATATATTGGTGGCAGCCAAAGTCCTTCCAGGAACTTAAAACCAGGGACCTCTGGTCCCCGCTGGGATGTGGAGCTGCCTGTGGAGGCCCAGGGTGGGAATAAAATTGTACCAACAAATATGGCCAGGGCATTTGACCCTCTTTTCACACTGTGATGTCCACATAAAGGATGATTTTATTTTGGGTTCTCTTTGATTCCATTTTTATAGGCCCATCGGGAAAAAAATCCAACAACTTCGTATCAGAACAGAGTTGTTTCAATCATAAACTATGCTTAGCCAATGAAATTCCTGCATTGCTTTTTTAAATTCAATGCAGTATATAGAATATTTTTCAATTTTTCCTTTTATTTTAATCAATAGACTCCCTTACTATATTGGAGATTTAACTCAGGGAACATGCTGAGTTGCATCACAAGTCCTTTTTTTTTTTTTTTTTGTCTTTTTTAAAATTTTTTTTATTTTTTTTGTCTTTTTGAGATAGAGTCTCACTATGCAGTTCAAGCAGGCCTTGAGCTCACTTTGTAGCCCCGGCTGGTCTGGAACTCACAACAATCCTCCTGCCTCAGCCTTCTGAGTGCTGGGACTACAGTCATATGCCACCATGTGTGGCTTATCACAAGCCCTTTTGAACAATGTTTGTTTTGGAAGTCTTGCTAAGTTCTGAACTTCAACTTGCAGTCCTCCTGCCTCAACCTTGGAGGGGGTTGGGATCACAGGCACGTATGACAATACCCAGTACAGGTCTTTAACATAATTGTGTCTGCTACTTTGCCAAGGCTGTCCTCAAACTCCTGGGCACAAGGAGTTCAAAGCCTCAGCCTCCAGAGTAGCTGGGCAGCAGGCGCACCCACCATGCCTGGCTTGTCTCTCTCTTTTTTTTCAGAACCAGGGATTGAACTCAGGCCCTTGCGCTTGCCAGAGAAGCGCCTATTCCACTGAGCCATCTCCCTGGCCCCCATGAGTTTCTGGCTTGTCTCTAAAAGTCCTTTTTATTGCAAGTATTTTCCTCTGTGCAATATTTATAGTAAATATTATAGTAAATATTAGTTGCATTTATTAAACTTAAAGAATAGAATACTTGTATTTTTTAAGCTCTCATCTTGGGGAGGGAGTGATCCATTTCTGAAGTGACATCTTAAAAATAATCTAAAAATTTTAATTGACATGTAATTGTGTACATTTATGGGATATAGTGGGATAATTTGATATAAGTACATAATGTATAGTGATCAAATCAGGGTAATTACTCTCTCTCTCTCTCTCTCTCTCTCTCTATATAGGGTCTTATATATATATATATATATATATTTAAATAAGGTCTTGGGCCGGGGAGATGTCTCAGTGGAATAAGCGCTTCCCTGGCAAGTGCAAGGGCCTGAGTTCAATCCCCGGTTCTGCAAAAAAAAAAAAAAAAAAAGGTCTTACTGTATAGTTCAGGCTAGCCTTGAACTCACTGTATAGTGCAGACTGGTCTTGAACTCCCAGCAATCCTTTTGTTTCTCCTGCCTCAGCCTTCCAAGTGCTGGGATTACAGGTGTGTATCACCATGTGCAGCTATTTCCATCTCTTAAAATATTTATCATTTCTTTGTGTTAGAGTTTTGCAAACCGCTCTCTTCCAGTTCTTTATAAAATACATAATTAGAGGGGCTGGGGAGATGGCTCAGTAGAATAAGTAGTTCCCTGGCAAGCTCAAGGGCCTGAATTTAATCCTCAGTTCTGAAAGGGAAGAAAAAAAATATATATATATATATATATATTTAGAGTTGAGGCCATCCTGGACTACCATATGAGACCCTCTCTCAAAATACCCTCTCAAGGGGCTGGGGATTTGGCTCAGTGGTAGAATGCTTGCCTGGCAAGCTGGAAGCTCTGGGTTTGGTCCTCGGCACCAAAAACAAAAAACAAACCTCTCCTCCAAATACCCTCTCAGCGTTGGGGAGGCTGCAGCAGGAAGATCTCCATGAGTCTGAGGCTTGTCTGTGCCACACAATACGATCTTGACTCAGAAAAAAGTTGTCAGCTGTAGTTAGCCCGGTGCATCTTAGAACATGAGAACTTACTCCACTAAAACTTTTGTTGTGGTGGTGGTAGTACTGAGGGTCAAACCCAGGGGCACTCTGGCGCTGAAGTACATCCCCTATTTATCTTGAGACAGGGTCTCACTAATTTGGCCAGGCTGACCTTGAACTGGGGATTCTCCTTTCTCAGGCTCCTGAGTAGCTGGAAGTACAGTAGCACACCACCATGGGTAGTTACAACTACATTTTGGTGCCTATCATTTAATCTGTCCCATTCCCCTAGCTGGGCTGTTTATGTCCAATATTTATGAACTACCAATTCTATCACCGATTTTTTTTTTTAAGGGGGAGCACACGTGTCATTTTGGAATTAAGTTTTGAATATTTAGCTTTATTAACTGACGGAAGGATGATAGCTACTACTTAAGGAAAAATGAAAGAATTTGATCGCCGGCACCACATGCCGCGCCAGCCCCGCCCCGGGCACGCTGAGCCAGCCACCGAGGCCGGATGTAATGGTGCACATCTGTAATTCCAGCGCTGGGGAGGCTGAAAACAGGAGGATCACTGCAAATCTAAGTTGGCAGTGAGAACCTGTACCAAATGTAATGAAAAGGAAATAAAAGAAATGATACTTCTTTAGTTCTGAGCCTGAACCATATCATGGTTTGTGCTCTGTCTGCTATTTTCTGAGACAAATTGTGATGAAATATACGTAGGATTAAAATTTCCAGTTAGCCTTTATAAACTCTACAATTCGGTGGTGCTAACTCAACTTGCAATGTGATGCAAGAGTATTACTATCAATTTCCAAAACTTATCTCCGTCCTGTCATCAGAAGCCATGAGTCTCATTCGCACTTGGCCCCTGGAAACTTCTGCTCTACTTCCTGTTCCTCTGAGTTTTCCCGTTCCAGGTGCCTCATTGTGTGAGGTGGCTCTCTGTCACTCTGATGAAATCCCCGGGACATCAACTTAAAAAAGAGGAGAGGTCTATTTCGGGTCATGTTTCAGCGGGAAGATTGCTCACCTCGTTGTGGCAAAGAAGCAGAAGAAGAGACAGGAAGGGAGTTTGGTTCTAATGTCCTTGTCTGTTACTTTTCTCATTGCTGAGGCAACATACCTAACACCTGAAGATAAACGTTTTTTTTTTTTTTTTCAAAATTTTGATAAACAGATA